CCACCCCCCCCTGCCTACTTCGTATATAAGCAGCACCTTCCACATCCTATCACCACAGCTACTGCTCTCCGCAGCTATTCAACTGCTCTGAAGATGGAGGCGCTACGTTCCTCCGAAACGTCGGCCAAAACGAAGAATACACGGTGCCTAAACCCAGAAGACAACTTTCTTCAACCTTTGTTATTACTTCATCTGAATTGCTGTGTTGACGGATACAATACACAACAGGTTGCAGTTCGTAAAGACCCTATTTAGAAGCCATACCAATGACAATATTTAACACTTTACATTACTATTCTCAGTGTTGCTGCTGGTTATAGTTTCTGGTCAATTGCTACTGTGTTCTGAAACGTTTACCGTGCCCGTACGTTAATAAGCTGAGATCGTAAGGGAAACTAATTACGCTTTTCCATTCTCAGACTACGATATGGATTACACACTACCCTCGATGGGGCCGCATCCCGCCAGGCAGCCCCCTGGAGCTTACAGCTCGGCATCAAGACCATCACCATCCTTGGAGCGAGACATCAACCTATGGTGCGTGGTGTGGCTCCCGGTGTGTGCTACGTTGTTACAAGTCTACAGCTGACTGCACAGCGCTTCCATAGACTACTGAACAGTCTGCTTATGCACACAATACACCGTCACCACAATCTAGCACAGCTGGCGGGAAACTCGTTCGTACGGAGATTAATGTAGCTTCCTCGTTGCCAGTGCATTCCGAAAGGGGACAAGAATATGGGAGAGTGTTTTCGTGACTGAATAGTATCTAAAATGAAACAGCCCATTTCCATTATTTATATCAGCGTGTATGCGTTTAAAATGAGAAAATGTAGGGGCGACAATGGGAGCCCTTTGTTACCCAACCACAGACGGACATATATTATTATACAAATGGGGCTTATCTCTGCCATTGTTCCGACGCATAAAATAACACTGTATACGGAATATATAAGGGAAGATGGCGGGTGAAATGAAGAACCATTTTTCAACATATGAATTTAGTGATGTGTGCTTGTGAAGTTCATTATACTTCGTAGGAAGAGGAAACAGTGATATGAACAATTCACGGAGAGAAAACTTCGATAAGTAAATTTAATATAAACGTGCTCAACTGTAAGAAATTGACAAGGAAATTATTTCAACAAATACTCTACATCAGCACTGTTCCACGCGAGAGACAAACCCAGCTATACTGTGCACAATAAGATAATCTAACCCAACCCTTTTCATTACATGTAGCAGTTCCTCATAATGGTAAAAGTCATTGTAGTTACGAAAAGGAGTCGAAGTGTAAGAGGACTTAGGTAATTATTGTGAAAAGCATTATCGTTAATAAAGAATTACCTTAGCTTCGTGTACATATGGAGTATAAAGAAACAGCATATGTTCACTCAGTGTCATACATATTACTTAAACTGATGCAAGGATTAAGGCATCACTCCTGGTAGTTGGGAAGTCGAGAAACATCTGGACAGTGTAACACGTAGCCCGCGACATACGTACTAGGCTACGTGTCCTTGTGAAGGAAAGGAGACCTACGTTACACTTCCCGTCAGAAATATTACGGACTCAACAAGAGGTATTTATAAACTGAAGACAGGCAAAACATTTAAGAATACAATATTTTATTTCTACACAGAATTGTACTGTATGTGGCACAACATATTCAAAATATGATCTGCCGTCTTCAATATTTTCAAGGATAGAAATAAATGTTCTTGCTGTTGCAGTTTTCAAGATGAATTACATATTTGTATTTCACAAAATGTATATTATTTAGTGAAAACTACAGCCCATATAGCACATAAGAGAAGATGCATGTTCGAACATAGTTTTATTAAATCGTGCCAAAACGTTTCATTTGTCATGTCTGTGAAAGTTATGATGAACTCTCTAATATTATGGTTTCCGTCCCAAATAAGCGAAAGCGAAACCTGTATTCAACTGTTCTATATTTTGGGATATAGCGTCGCGTGGTCCCTTGAAAGTCAGACAAACATGTCGCTCCCATCTTCAGGATTGAAGAAATAAGCAAGCTAGAAACCGGAAGGAAGTAGGTAGCAACCACAACTCTAATGCCGATTTCTTGCTTGGCATATTTTTCGATGATGAAGATGGAAGTAATATGTTCCTCCGAAACGTCGGTTGAATTTCAATGAACCACGCGGCTTGATATCCCAGAAGATAGAGTTATTCACAACCGCCGCTGTGGAAACCTCAAAGTTATCAATTCTATACTTCTCAGACATTAAATACCTTATTTGTCCACCGTACTCCAACGCCTGCAATATGTGTTTAGGCTATAAGCTTAACAGGTAACCTGAGAGGTCGCCGTAGTTCCACACAGATAACCAGGAATTCGGACGCTGTGAGGATCAGGTGAGCTGTCTGCATTAACAAAAACTGGACGGAGCTGGGCAGACCGTCTGATTGAGATAAGGATTCTTGATATACACGCTTACAAGAGTAAAAGACACATTTACCCGTACAGAAATACTAGGTTTTCGGACTTTGTCCATCGTCCGGATTATAAATAAATAAATGTGTCTTTTACTTAGTTATTTAGAATCCGGACGATGGACAAAGTCCGAAAACCCACTATCTCTGTGTGTTATACACCATCGTCAGAACCCTACAGTATCTACTTTTACCGGTATTCTGCAATTATTGTAACCTTGTAACTTCAACATATATCTTAAGTATCAACCTGAAATCTGTACCGCCCGTGTCCTACTTCGCCTCGCAATGTGTCCCACACGTATAGTTTCAGCACTACGTAACACATTTCGTCAATAAGGAATACTTAGTCAGCTAAAACTAACTAACTTCATGGAGCTGAATCCTTCTTGAGAACCCGCCAATTGTGCAGGTACTCAAGAATTTCCCACCATTTTATGAAACTCTAAGGTTCATTACCGTGTTCACAGGAGCCCTCCACTGATCCCTATCCTGAGCCAGATCCATCCAGTCCGTACCCTCCCATCCTATCTCTCTAAAATCCATTTTAATATTGTCCGCCCACCTACGTCTTGTTCTTCCTTTCTGGCTTTCCCACCAATATCCTATATGCATTCCTCTTCTCCCCATTCGTGCTACATGCCCCGCCAATCTTATCTTCCTTGACTTGATTATTATAAATATGCTTGGCGAAGAGTACAAGTTATGAAGCTCCTCATTATGCAGTGTTTTCCAATTTCCTGTCACTTCATCCCTCTTCGGTCCAAATATTCTCCTCAACGCCCTGTTCTCAAACACCCTCAGTCTGTGTTCCTCCCTTAATGTCAGAGTCTCTAACTTAGTCAGCTGCATAATATAAAATTTTCCGTATGCGTTTATCGGCTGCATGAAGATTATATTGACTTATTTTAAATTGATACAGTTAATGCAGAGAAAATACAAAACCGTAATGATGGATACAAGAGATTTTTTGGGAAATAAATATTCCTTTTTAGCTTCTTCTTAAATATAGAATATAATGCTCCCAGTAAGAGAAATGAAACGAAAAGGAATTTGAGAATTCGTATCACAGACCACAAACTGAAGGCACTGCTTAGAGGAGCGAAATTGGATGAGAATGAGAGAAGAAATATGATCACCACAGCAGTGCACACAATTACAGGAACCTCGTGCAAATTGGTCGCGATGATTAGAGCTCAACTGTAAAGAGGAGGACATAGTCCACATACACGCTCAATTTCCTACACAGTTCTAACTGAGGAAGAAACTGGCACTCAGAAACCACGCAGTTTTCTCTCCACACGAGTAGAAAAGGCTTAGGGAATATTACTCAGTTCGCTACGAATATTGGCCAATTCACTATCATTGAAAATTTTATCATGACGTCCTCAGAGAAAATTATATTACGTTGCTATGGTTACAGTTGTGGAAAGAAAAAAGAAATGCAGAGTCATATGGAGACCAACATTCTCTCGATTAAGTCAGGATTTGCATTTCTGGCAGTTGTTTTCACGTTAGTGACATCATAAGCCAGTTCTTTCTTGACCTGGTCGCTACAATCTTTCGATTTCGTCTTCCAAAAACATTAATGGACACCGACATAACTCAATGAATTCTGTAAGAAACTCCCTTGACCAGTTAGCCACGATTTAAAACTGATAAAACTTTGACTAAAGTCAATCCCGTGAGAAACGCTCTATAAGGCACAGTTCTAATTCGTTTGGGGGGGGGGGGAGTCCAACTGGGTCCACTCGGCACGGCGGCCACTGATTGGCCTATTGTAGCCTGCCCCGGGTGATTATGATGATCATATATCAATTTAACTTTCACTGGCTCTCTCTTTTACAAGTACTTTTGTACAATTGTACTCTTACTTTTAAGAGTACAATTGTGTACACTTAAGCGGTCCCTTAAACGCCTACCAATATACTCGTACCTTCCTTTAGTCATTATTCGGATAATATGGAAAATGACGAATACTACCTTCCGGAATATTACGCTGTCTAGTCAGCTAAAAGTCAAGTGATGTTTTGGAAGAGCATGTTACCTCCATCTTCAGGCTCGAAGCTTTAGGCCAAGAAAGAACGCAGTAATAAACAAGCAGAGCTTCCTGCTTCATTCTAGGTTCTTCGTTGACTTATTCTTCGACCCTGCAGATGGAGGCAATATGTTCTTCCGAAACTTCGGTTAATTCCATCAGACTACGCGACGTTATATCACAGAAAACAGAAGTCTTCATAATGTTCAATTGTGACCATAAACTGTCGAATCGGACGCTGTATAGGGGAAAGTTTGTATGACGAACCCCTTCTGTTGGCGCCAAGATCAACTGACGCGCATTCACTCAATATTACGCCCTGGGGTTATATCATCTCGTAAGATATATCAGTATACTGAATATTAGGACCTATGCTATCCGACGTCATCAGACCAGTAACAAACAACTCCGTGATTTTAGTCCGCAAGCGAACTATACCGATCGAGCGACCGCCGCTTGTCGGCGAAGTTTAGTGCCAACTTTTGCGGACAGAGGCTGTCGCGTGGTCAGCGCAACGAATCCCCACGGCCGTTAATTTCAATTTTCTAGACAGGAGCCAGTATTTCCTTAAAAAGGCTCCTCAATTATCATCACGAGGCTGAGTGGACCCCGTTCCAGACCCACTACTTCTCCGAAAAAATCTGGTAGCGCCGGAAATCGAACCCCGACCTCTGGATCTGTAGTCAGGAACGCGGTTCACTAGACCACAGAGGGGTGAGACCAGTAACAGTAACATTCTCTGCATACAGTCTGCGTCGTAATTCTGCAAAACTGTTTGCAAGTGCAAAAATCCGCAATTTTTTTAGGTTCTCTCCAGGCACTACTATCCGTTGTATATACTGTATGTAGCGGGAACTGTGGACGAAATATTCCTGAGAACAGCTTACTTCAAAGTAGAAATACAGGGACGCAAAACATAAAGTAATAACGGTCTGGAGAAAATAGGGAAGGTATATATTCAAGCGCATTTGCAATCTTGACACATATGCGGCAACATATCAATTTTAAAGGAAAAAGTAACTAATTGAAGACTACAGAGCTCACAGAGTGAAAGAAATTGAATATCTGGAAACAGCCACGTACCCCTAACATTTTGACAATAAGAATGAATGAAAGCGGGACGTATTCCGAAAATGAAGTCCATTATAACTATGACAGACGTCACGAAAATACTACAGTTACTACAGAATTACTACAGTCAATGACTTCAAATATGTCGTTACACTGTAAATATTTAGAGCCTTAAAAGGTGCGCCATAGCTCAAGCGGTTAGTCGCTGGCTTCCCACTGCGGCGGTCCGTGTTCGATCCCGGGTCTGGTCAAGTGGGATTTGTGGTGGACAAAGTGGCGCTGGGGCAGGTTTTCTCCGAGTACTTCGGTCTCCCCTGCCAATCTTAATCCCACCAACTGCTCTACAATCACCCTCACCTATCATCTGGGGTTGGTACAATAGGCCAGAAGTGGCCGCAGTACGAGGGACTTAGTCCCACCAAACTAGCAATACAAAAATTAATAGAGCCTTAAAATATGCCGACAATATTACATGAATTACATTATACAATGAATGAATAATAAAGTCCAAAACAGAAACTGCCGATGAAATGCGAATATACTAGTTCTTCCACTTCTTTGAAACATTAGCAAAAACGCTTAATTTCTGGGTTTCATCTCCTAACTTTTCATTCACTTTGTGCCAATTACCTATTCAATACACAATATTTCTCTAAATATAATTACGTATTGTGGCGTATTTACTCCATGCAAGAACGTTTCAGCCACAGAAACAGCCGCTGCTAAGTAATACACGCACGCAACAACAGAAAGGGATTATGCCACCCGTTTCTAGGCAACAGCTCATTAAACACTTCAACGTAGGGAGTGACGTCACACAACAGTGGGTAGTGGTAACGTGATGTGTTTTCTGTTGGTTCAGCCAGCGCGTCAATGGACTGGCTGGGTAGCGACCACGTGACATGTGATTTCTCTATGTCTAGGCAGTGCACCAATAGACTGTCTTGGTAGCAATCATGTGACGCGTTTTCTGTGATGCGTGTCCGTGCTGCTTCTACATAAGTGAAGAGAATTCCGAAGCTGAAGGAGTGAGTAGTAGACGGAGAGACTTCCAGGTTCCAGGGTGACTGAACAAGAAACGGCAATTAAACTTCATAGTGATTCGAAGTGCTAGTTTCTGTATTGTGATCTGTTGCCAGAAGACGACTAGTGGAAACTGAAAATCCTAGTGCGTGTGCAACGTAGAATAGCGATAGCGTTATAATTGTGATCAAGAAAAATCTGTAACCGAAGTGGAAATAGATCCAATCAACCGATCTAAACCCCGTTATTTTCGTCACGCGTACACC